CCTAGTTATACATTTTTATTAGGTTACGTTCTGGCTCTCCAAACTTATATATTCTCGGATTGTGTTTAAAAGTTCAGACCTTTACTGTAAATAATTTAACATTATTTTCGAATTTTGGTTAAAGGTATTGAGTTGGTAAAGAGAGAAATAGCACATCACCCAAATCCAGCTCTTCCATTTAATTCGAAGTTTCTTTCCATTCTTTTTAAATGGGAAGTTCGTTCTTTATCTAGTGGTTAAACGACGCAAACAATTTATTCAAACAACCGAGAAAAGAGTTATATACATCTACAACCGTCTGTTTTAGCGGCTGAAAACATAAACTTGAGTTTGGCGGGGCTGAAATAAGTAAAAAAAGAAGGAAAGAAACACGAAAAAATATAAATAATGCGAGATCTGGAACTGAAGTCACTTAAGCGAGAGGGAAAATCCAATTTACTGCTTCCTTGCAAGCGGGGATAACGCAAGTGGCGAATATGCAAGATTCCGCACATCCTATTTCGTTTTAACGTTGTAAAAAGGAAGTTTCAATGAAGGGAAAGGGAAAAAAAAAAGTAAGAAGCTCAAACTATTAAAGGATTTCGAAGTTACTCCGTTTTTCGAAACTTAACAAAAAATGAGGCATTTGAAGTAAACTGAACTTCTAAACGCTTTAAGAAGATTTTGGAAGAGCGAGATTGATAGAACTAGTCAAAGCATACATTGCACCGAATATTTTTTGAAATCTGATTCGCTTTGTAATTGCTTTCTCATTTTTTATATACGCAGTTTAGAAGTTCGATTTAAACTAATGTATCATTCATTCCCTTCATAACATTTCTACCGTAATGGAGTCTGTTTAAAGAGAAACATGTCATTCGCAATCTCTTAAAGATATACAGATATTCACACAGCATTAAGCATGAATTTTAAGGTATTTCAGAACGTTGAGCATGCTGCATTGGAAATTTATTTCCATTTGAGATATTAAATGGTCCATCAAATCATATCACTATGAAAGTTTTTAAAATTGATTACTTAGTTATTCCTGGGATAAAAAGCATTGCCTGTACTATACGCGGGACTATCTAAAGCAACCTTATATTTTTCTTTCTCTTTTTTTTTTCAATATTTATTTTCAGGAAGTTGTGTCGAATTAAATTTGTTTTTTTATTTATAATCCTTATCTGTTACGTCTCAAATGCCGGGATTAAATATAGTTATAATATTTTACATGAACGTAATTTAATTCTTCAGCGCTGCTGGCTCTGCTGATTTACAGTAAAAATATTTTTTCATTATTTTGTTGAATAATAATGTACCTTGCTCAAAAAAAAAAAAAAAAAAAAAAAAAAAAAAAAAAAAAAAAACAGTTCTTGTATCTCCCGTTCTACTGGACCGATTGGCGAAATTTAAATTGCGTTGTTCATGTCTCGAAAGCGCGACTTAGGATATGTATTAGGTTTATATATGACACTGTTCTAACACAGGTATTTTGACACAAAATCGGACTTTTATGAAATGATATGTAAATTGTGTTTCCATATTTCGATTCTACTACTCAAATTATGCCAAACTGCTAAGTTTTGTAAAAGTCGCAGGAATAGTTTTTAAAAACCTATAAGGTATTTCTCCCGCTTCCCTAGCGTGCCTTCGCGGTGTAGTAGTCAGCAAACTGGGCCGATATTCGAAAACTCCGTGGTTCGATTCCCGGCGAAGGCGTTTGCTAATTTTTCATCTTTCCTGCTTCAAAAAATACCTAACTTAGCTCTCAAAGTTTTAGCCCCTCTATGTTAATTCAATCTGGTATATATTTATTAGCATTTCTTTTTTTAAATTATTCTTATTTGATTCTTCCTTTCACATTTCGAAATTTAGGTTAATTCAAAATAAAATTCGCGCTTTTTTATTATTTACACTTAAAATTTGATTTTTAAATAAATTTTGCAAAGTTTTCGAAAACATTTTCAATTATAAGCTATAAAAATTTTAAAATCATGTTAAAGTAGATGTATTTCTAGGCAAATCTGCAAAAAATTAGAGTTTTTAGTCAATATTTTCTATGATATATATATTGGCGCATTTCGAAATTTGGCATATTTGTTATAAGCGACAATAACGCCAAATGTGCTTCACGCACTGTGTTGAAATTATTTGAAAGTATGAACGATGACAATTTTACCACCCGTCTGCAATGAAAAAAAAGGAGAGGAACATAGGTTCCTATAAATTAAGAAGTTCGCCAAGTGAATTATTCTTGGCGCAAACTGAAAATAAAATACGCCAAGTTAAATTTTAAATTTCCCCGTAAATTAGGCACCAGATTTTACAAAATTTAATACTTTGACATGATTTGAGTCGTAGAATCGAAATATGGAAAAATATTGGCATGCCATTTCAGAAAAAGTCCGATTTTGTGTCAAAATACCTATGTATAAACAATGCTATATATAAATCTAATATTCTAAGTTATGCTTTGGAGACATGAAAAACACAATTCGAATTTCGTCAATTGGTCCAGTAAAACGGGAAATATAAATCTAACCTCTTTTTTTTCCCGCAGGATGCATTATAATTTTCTTCTAATGTTAAAAATATGTATATTATACATTTATTGAGCTCATGAGCGGCCGACAGTAAAGTCGCTGAGCACTGGTAGTCTAAACATGCGTTCGATTCGAAGCAAACCGATTGTGTGCTACATCATTTTCGTAGTTTCCCCCATGTGTAACGTGTTAAGGAGCCAGTTTCCCTTAGAAAGCCTTCTACGAAGGCACCCTTTTCCTTAGGCAGATAGCCTTAGTGTGGTTTGCCCTAATCAACTAAACCGAGCCAAATATTAATCGTCACTGCTATTAGCACCCAGAAAAAATGATTTTTAAATTTACATAAATTATTCTTTAAAATTAAATTTTAATTCTTTAAAATTCTTTAAATTCTTTAAAATTCTTTAAAATTAAAGTCGTACGAAGATGAGAATGATCGAAATGGATTCCGACAAATTTTTGGAATCCGCGATACTTTTCTCGAAATTAATTTTCACGCCGTTCCGGAGGAGACGATGCCACAAACAAACAGACAGACGTGCACAGAAAAAGATTGTTCAATATTAGCACATACTCAATTCTTTGTACATTAAACTGATTGAAAGGTAAAACAGGATTCAATATCCGAACCAGATGGGGTTTCTGTCTTAGTTGCTGTTAATAGTACGAACAGCGAATTCAAAGCAATATTTTAACCAAACTTTTGTATATTTCGTATAGTTCTATTATATTTTCAGTGTACCACATTATCTGTTATTTGCAGTGTTTCTTTCAAAGTAAAACTTGTGAGCATTCTCAGAATTTTCTGTTTCGTAGTTGACTGTTAAGATACTTCTTTTGAACAGTTAGTCTTTAGATTTATTTGTTTGACAGCAATGCACTGAAACTATTAATGGCTTCTCGTAGAACAGCAGGAATGTAATTTTTCTTCGATGCGATAAACTCCTTCCCCTTGTGAATTAGAAAGAATGCACCGTCTTCAAGAACGTTCGTCTTACGGAGTTCCCATTTCTCAATATAATTGAAACAAATAATGCTTTCCTGCTTTTAAAATGACATCCATGTCTAGAGATAGGGAAGTATGAACAAAGTAAATATGCTTCTGATAAGCAAGTTACAATACCAAAAAGGTGCGAATTTTAAACAAATATGCGCTGTTTCTATTTATGGAAAAAAAAATGAAAGTTAATATTTCATGCTTCACGTTTACTTCCGTGAATTTACCTCTTCTGCTTATCCGTTATCGTAAAATGCATGGAATGTAAGCTGATACTATAATTTATTTTGTTTTTCTGAATTTTTATATGTAAAGTCAAAGAACATGATAGAGGAAAGCTTTTTCGGAAATTGCACAAAATGTTATAACATTCTATATGTGATGGTTATACACAACAAAAGTAAATAGGATACGTTTTCTGTCACTAACATCGGCTTTGATGTAAATCAGAGAGAAATTCCCTTAATTTTCGGTACTTTTCGAATCTTTTTTTCAAATTTTTTTATTAGCAAGAATTACGTTTTGAGTTTCCTTTTGAATTTCTTTTGAGTTTGAATAATTTTTATTAATCTATTTTTCCCTGGCTACGTCCTCGATCTGTCATCAATTATAATTGTGTATGAAGAAAAATAGGTAGTTTCCATTTTTAATGTTCGTTTCTATTAATAAAACGCAGCACACGAAAACTATTCGTCTCATGAGATGGAGCTTGCAGAAAACTTTCTAAAAGAAATTTTATTTATTATATTTGCATTAGGCATTTGAAACTCACGAAAACTCCTATGCATCGGCAATCCACCATTAACCAGTATTTAGCCTTTTTAAAATATTCAAACACTGGTAGGCCACAATTATAAATTATCATTATTTATTATACTACTATATTTAACTGCTATATATTCTCCGAAAGACACTTTTTTGGGTTCATTTATTAAAAAGCTGTACAATCTCTCTAATACAAATAGTATCTCAAATCAGAATATCAGGAAAAGCAATGTGATAAAATATTAACATGCAACCATTTTAATATTACACTCAAATTGTGATTTAATTTTTCTCTAAGTATGCTCAATATTTATTTATTTATTATTATTGTTTTATGTGAAATATAAGATGGCCTCCTGTTTTAGATGATGCATTTTTATGCGAATGTCAGTTAAAGAAATCGCTTGTAAAATTATTAGGCTTTTTTCATGCTGGAGATATGAAAATTTAGCAATGCTCTGGCCAGGATTCGAGCCTGGACCTCTTGAATACGCGCCGAGTTTGCTACCGTTAGACGATGAAGCCATGCAGGAAGGCGGAAGAAAATATCCTATAAGCTATATGCTTGGATTACATACTATGAGCTAAGCACTTGGATTGCGTTCTTGATTTTGTGAATCAGCAAAATTATTATTTTCTTGTGTCAGAAAAATATTCATATTGTAAATAATGTCATATGATTAAGCAAACAACAAGATTTTAATATTTTCTAGGATATATTCTGTTTCAAAAATCCGAAGCTCCAGAATGGGAAGAAGTACAGTTATCGGAAGAACGGAATAGTTACGTTTTTCATGGTCTTCAATGTGGCATGAGGTATCAGTTTTATTTAGTGGCATTTAATGTTGCTGGAAGAGGTCAACCCAGTGATGTAATTTCTGCAAGAACAGAAGGAACAGGTAAATTAATTTTATACTGTACTCATATTTTTACATCACTTCGAATGATTTCTTATGCTAAATTGAAACATTGAATGATTTAGAAAGATAGAATAAAAACGTTATTAAGTTTAAAATAAAGTAATGTGATAATAAATTTAAAATTCATAACTAATTATTTTGAAATGTGTCGTTCCTGAATTTGTAATTGCTATATGCTACTAAGAAGACATGGTGGCATGCAGCGGTAAAAATTAAAGTATCAGTCTTCTGTCCAATAATGTAGAATTCATTTTTATAAATCAATGAGATTAATACTCCTCTCTGATGAATATACCGTTAACCCTACAAAGAACACAAATTGTTTACCGAGAGATTATTAATACTGAAATTCCAATCTAAAAGAATTTTTTTTTGAAAATCTAAAGTCCACGAACTGTGAACTGCAGGCTTAACGTTCATTTACAATTTAAGAAACTTAATATTCTATTCCTTTCAATAAATGCCTCAGCTTGACTGAAATCTATGTTCTATTAATCTGAGTTTCGTACTGCGAAGATAAACATTTTAGTTGTCAAACATTAATATTCGAAGTCTGGACAGTGTAAATTGCCTCAAGGTTATTTGCTGGGGTATGCAAGAATTTCATGTTAATGAGAACTGTAATAATGAAATTTGAGCTTACAACCCTTGAGAATTTAAACGAGTACCTGGTTTGCTAAATTTCAAAGGAAATTTCTTTTCTAACTCAATTATTTATACGTTTAAGCAGAAAAAAAATGTTTCCTATTAAACCCCTTTTCGTAATATTTTAATTACTAATATATCGGCAACATTGTGTCTACGATGCTTGTTTGCTCTTTTATTAAGCATTTTAAATGCATTAGCATATGAATGAAATATAATTTATATATATATATATATACATACATATCTCAGAAGATACTGTTTATAATATTTTAGGTTTATATTATAAGGATAGCTTTTTATTCTATTAAAAAGTCTGAGGAAAAACTTTTAACTCTCTTACCAATTATTCTTATCCATTTTAGTTCCGGTAGCACCCGTGAGAGAATCCTTGCTCACCATCAATTCTACATTTATCATCATTCATTTGACTAGCTGGAAAAGTGGTGGATGTTCAATCAATTTCTTTGTCGTTCAGTACAAGCCTCTTAACCAACAAGAGTGGATTTTGCTGTCCACCAATGTCCTTCCAGAGCAGAGAACGGTAACGGTGACCGACTTGACCCCAGCCAGTCACTACATGCTCCTGATGACGGCCCATAATGACGCTGGAACGACGGAAGCTGAGTACCAATTTGCCACTTTGACACTCTCGGGAGGTAAGGCATTAATCTCTAGCTCTTCGGGAACTTCCATTATTTACAACTGGATATCAATCAGAAATTGCTAATAGGTGTCATTAATGCAACCGCATATTATTAGTTAATATTTCAAGACAACTGATGGGCATACTCTATCATTTAAAGAAAATACTATGAAAATAAGTTTATTAAAGCAGTTGGCTAATGATACGGCTTACAAACGGTAAAATAATTTCCCGGAATAAAACAAGAACACCCCATAACGTTTTACATTTTATCGTTTTGGATTTTATCATGGAATTCATCTGTAAATTGTTTTAATTTTTTATGAACAACGAAATTTTACATTTAAAATTAGAAAGGGATTTTCATTATCCATAATTAGAAATTTTATTTTCAGTTTACCCTTATAGTAGTACTTCTACTTCATTTGCTGTAATGTAACTAAAATATTTATAAATCTTGCAAATGCAATAAACTGCAAATACAAAAGTATAGGAAGTACCAATATATGATTGCTGAAATAAGCTAAAATACCACAGCAATTTCAGTTTACTTATTCTACTCATTTGCTGTAATGTAACTAAAATATTTATAAATCTTGCAAATGCAATAAACTGCAAATACAAAAGTATAGGAAGTACCAATATATGATTGCTGAAATAAGCTAAAATACCACAGCAATACCTGAAATCATTTGAAAAAACTGCAAAAGAAAATCATTACGGTTTATATCCAGAATTATGTGTCCAAGATACAAGCTTTAAAAGAATTAAATTCTTTAATTTTAAGGAAACACGGAAACAACTAAGCGAATAAAATATTTTGATTCTATTAGATGGAAACAAGTGTAAGTTCTATACTGTTAGTTAAATATTTTTAGCGTCGTGATAATTTTTGAACCTCTTAAAAAATTCAGTGTGCCGATTTATTTAGTCGTGATTTAACCCATTAGCCGCTGGTGTTGCGTTGACGCAACGGTCAAAATAAATGTGTATATAAATATAACTACCTAACATACTTTATACCAGCAGATGATTTTGTGTAGGAAATAATATGAAGATTGTTTCTGTAAAAAAATATTTGCCTTCAACAATCATTTTGTTTATAATAATCAATCTCATACTTTAAGCAAAATTTAAGCAAAATTTTCGACCGGGTATTTTTGCTGAAAATATTTAACGAAAGAATCGCCGTCTTTATGAGTGATCTATTTTCAGTCAAGGTCACCGTTTATCAGAACATTACATCAGTCAGATGTTTATATTTGTGTTGGGAAGGAAGGGAAAACAGGTGTTGCGTTGCCGTAACGTCAGCAGGAAACGGGTAGTCAATCTCCTTTTTCACTCCTTCCTTTTGTTCTGGTTCATGTTCTGGTTGTTTAAAAATGCCTAGAACGAAGTATCTTACAAGCCTCTTAAACAACAAGAGTGGATTTTGCTGTCCACCAATGTCCTTCCAGAGCAGAGAACGGTAACGGTGACCGACTGACCCCAGCCAGTCACTACATGCTCCTGATGACGGCCCATAATGACGCTGGAACGACGGAAGCTGAGTACCAATTTGCACTTTGACACTCTCGGGAGGGTAGGCATTAATCTCTGCTCTTCGGAACTTCCATTATTTACAACTGGATATCAATCAGAAATTGCTAATAGGTGTCATTAATGCAACCGCATATTATTAGTTAATATTTCAAAGACAACTGATGGGCATACTCTATCATTAGAAGAAGAAGATCATTAGAAAGAAGAATATTAGAAGAAAGCCCTTCAAAGATTATGTGATGAAGAAACAGATGATGATAATGTTAATAATGACCAGAATGAAACTGAAACTGTTGTTGTTCCCCCAGAAATTTCAGAGGCTAGTGACGAAGAAGAAAGGAATTGCAATGTTTTAAATAATGATATTTTACCAAATGATACTGCTGAGGAAGTTGAAATTCACGTAAGAAGTAAGTTTCAGCCTTCTAAAAGCAGTTATAGTCATACTAAAAAGTTTAAAAAGCTGAAGACTGAAATCGTGAAGTGGATAAAAAAAGAATTGTTAGTTATGTCTCAGGAAGAACATGAAGAAAGAGATAGAAGAGAAATTATAAAAGACAAAACACAAGGTAAAACTAGTGCCCAGATTTTCGATTTTCTTTTTCGTTGAGACATTTACTCTATTCTCGTTGAACAGACAAATATATACGCTCAGCAAAATAAATAAATAAATAAATAAATAAGAATTTATTGCATCTGAACCTATATGAGAAGATTTATTGGAAAATTATTGCTTGCAGGATATCCTTCTTTACCTCAAGAAAAAATATATTGGTCTTTTGATAAGGACATTTGTTCATGTTCCTGTTGTACGAGAATTGATATCACGTTTGCAGTACAGGAATATGAAGCAGAATTTGCATCTGACAATAGTCGTAAAGTCCGTTGATAACAAAAGACTTGTAAAGAGTATCAAAAAAAGAGTTGTAAAGAGTATCATAGCCAGACTGTTTATAGATGCAAAGTATGTAATGTAGCTTTACATCATGATTGTAATCAAGCTTTTCATGCTTGAATCTTTCAAATGAAATAATCTGTATTTGTAAAAGAAATACAATGTATATTTTAATATTAAATTAATTACAAGTAAAGTGATTTGTAGATTTATAAAACGTTAAACAGCTAAAAAGTAATCCTGCGCTCCACTCAAAAGAAATATCACACGAGTACAATCCTACTCACTAAACATCCGTAGTCTTATTCCGCTGACGTTGCGCGAACGCAACACTCGCTTTTTCCACAGATAAGAGCATTCTTTTTATTTTCAATGTAAATTTATGTTATAAATGCTTAATTTAATATTTGTTATTATTTTAACGAGAAAACAATCATTCCTTGCAGTTTTGGCGGTTAATGGGGTAAAATAAATTGACTTTACAATATGATTCTCTCATATAAGCAAGGCAAGCGTCATAACAATGATCCATGATAATTATGGAGTAATTTTAATAATGACTAAACTAATTTAAAATTGTGTAACTGCATGTTTTCCCCCCAAAGAATTTAACTTCCTTTCTGAGGATGGGTGATTGCGAAAAGTGATTACAACGTTAGCAGTGGAAATACTGTTAATATTGGTGCATCCCACATGAGTCAATCGAATTTATTTCGACGTTCGAGCGGTTAATGGTTACATATGAGGTAGGGATATTTCAGATAGTTGAATGCGGTGTATATTAGTGCTATCTTCTTAAAACACGAACATTTTAGCTGTTCCACCCGAATAAAGATATAAACAATGATATATTCCCTATAATTAAAAATGTAAATTATTTAGTTTTTCTCTCATGCTTAAATTTAGCAGGGCCGCTCAGACTGAAAGCGGTTAGTGACTCGGACTGCCGTACCGAAGCGGCCGAGTTCGAATCCAGGAGAAGACATGGATGTAAATTGTCTCGCTCTTCATAGGGATCAGTGGTGGTGGCCCACCTATAAGTTTCCTACATAATAAAATGAGCACAATCAGAGGCTTCAGTAGTTGCCAACGTCTATAATGTCTAATGCATGCCATTGGGGGGGGGACGGGAGATACGCTTGAACAGGAATGTAGTTTCACCTTCGTTAGGTAAGTGTAGAAAAACTCTAAATAAAAATTTAGTATTTACTTCCTTAAAACTTTGACATTAATTCATATTTCATTATCATTTAATAAACGTTCGGAGCAGACACTTTAAATCCACCGGATTATTGGAAATTCATAAAAATGCAATGATGCAAATGAATTTACTTTGTATGGTTCAGATTAGTAAATCGTAAGCAAAAGCTTAATGATTTTTTATAAATAAATAGTTGAAATCTGAAATTGTTTTCTTACAAGTACTAAGAAGTACGTTTACTTTCCTGACGTTATTCATTTCTGAACAAATTACTTTTATGAAATGTTAGCACATACTATGTATGAAGAAATGAGAATTTTGAATAGAAAATATGCATTCGTTTCTCAGTTAGAATCCCAGCAAACGGGCTGGCTGAATGGCGTTTTTGTGGTTTGTCCCCAACATATATACGAGCCAGTTTTCCTTTGAAAGTTCTCCACGAAGCCATCCCCCTTAGATAGCTCTCGAGTGCATTGCTATAATCAAATAAGAAAAAAGAAAAAAAGGAAGTAAATTATAAGGAAAATATATGTTCTCTTTAATTATGCATCTCGGGATATCGATCTATATCACATTAATGGGGAAGCAATGGGAATGGATAGGATTATCCAATAATGACAAAGCACACGAGGGCTATCCCCCTAAAGGGAGGGATGCCTTCGTAGAGGACTTTCTAAAGGAAACTGGCTCGTATACACGTTATACATGGGGAAATCACGAAAACGGCCATGCAGCCAGAACCTCGGACCGAACCCATTCGAACCTCGGACCGAACCACCAGTGTTCAGCATCTTTACCGCTCGGCCGCTGGTGGGCCGTAATGAAAATGAGTAAAAAGATAATTCAAGCAGTTAGTCTTATGAATTCTTTGCATTTTAAGTCAAGATATGTTTGGAACAAGAGTTAACGTAAACCCAAATTTAATTAGATGTAGAATTATTACCTAAAGTAGAAAAAAATTAAGAAGTTAAAATTTTTATATGTTGGGAATGAAATATATTTATAGAGAAACAAATTAATAATATAAAAAAAAAGGCAGAGCTATGAGAGAAGGCATAAGGATTAAGTGTTTGTATCTGGCTAAACTAAGCTAAGTAGAAATGTATGCACTGCAAGATGCTATATATTTACAATCAATTTAATAACAGTTAAGGATTATATATTCAGCTTTTTGTTAACCAGTTTTTTTAACTTTCTCTCTCTATTATAAGCCATGTCACTTTATATTTGACTATACACGCAGCAGAATTCCAGACATATTACTTTATTTTTAGAAACTTAGAAAGGTGGAATACATGAAAAAATTCTTCAGAAACATGAATTGTCTGCAATAATAATAAGATATGCATGTAGCAGAGCAATGTTACGCTTGTAT